AACAGACAAAAACACGTCGAGCATCATGCATGCGTCCAGGAGAGTACACAACTACAAATGGCTCCAACTGATTTCAACGAGGAAAAACAGCAATATTTCCTTCGGTGATACTGCAGCTTAAGGAAAGCCCAATCGACACGGTAGACCAAATATAATTTGCAACATGTTCGATATGCACCTGAAGCACTTTTTATACGGAATTAACACCACACTACTGCGACACCGGCGTGACTGCCGCCAATTCAGTTTCACTAATTGAGCATTTAACTGCTGAAACTAGCGATTGACACAAACGATCAGGTTCGACACAAAATTTAGAACTGCAACTTTGCAGTCTGTTTGAATTCGGAAAACTGAACAGCCTAGCTGAAACGTTGACAAACGATCAAGAAACTAGCATAGATGATCTACTCACTCTGCACAGCGGACGCCCATTCGAAATCCAAGGGCACTTATACATTTTGCGATTTCTTTCTTGACCTCGCTGTTGAGTCTAAACGCAAATCAACTGGAAAGGAACGCCGCAACACAAACAAACTGCGATACCTCAGGTAAAACTGTTCATCCAACTGCCGTAGGATTGCCAGTGGACTGCAGCTGAGTATCTGAATAAGCCGTCGCCAACAATGATATGAAGGAACTAACGAACCTGATATCACGTACCTTGGCATCACTCAGGTCCAGGATCGCGCGCCTGAGTTCCGTGCATGCCTGGAACCGCTGCTCCTTCTCCCCTGCCGTAATGCGACGCAGCAGTCCGGCCAGATTTCCATTATTAGGGTCCGCAGCTTGCGCTCCGCCCAAGTACATTAATTATTTCGGCTAAGCACAGAAAACACTTCGGAAACAGCACCGGTTTTTGGCTGTCTGACAGACTTCTATGTCTATGCAGAGATCTTCAACATTTTAAGTTCGAATAACACAACTATAACAATAACAAAGAAGGGAAATTATATCCGTAACTGCGCTCAAAGTTTTCGCTTACTCGTACGGCAGCGAAAATTTGCAGAGACTATTAAAATGCACCTTTCCTTGTACAGATTTTTAGAAAGCAAGCACATCTATCGTGAAAAAAGGAAGAAATCGCTACTCATTCGATGGATATCACACGTTGAACTACCACGGTATCAAACGACTGTAACCAACAGTACCTCTACCACAGTGGAGCAGTGTTGTGTAGCGCGTAGGTTACGTTTGTCAATGAAGTAAATAATGCAATCAAGACATACTGCAGATATACACATAAGCTGCTGTGTAACCTTAAAAAACATTCCCTTCTTCAAGTTACTTTACGTTGAGAACAAATATCGCTGTTAGTTCCAAAAACTCAGTTTAATAAATGCTTTCATATTATTCAAGCTGTTATAAACATTTTTGTTTATCTGTTGTCATATTGCATATAGTGGCAACCGGTTAGGAGATTGCTAGCAAACGGGACGCGGCATTTAGTCACGAGGATTAATTTGCAACAAAAGCCTCCACTAAGTATCATAAATTTCATATCATAACATATTTTCATAACAGTCTCTCCATTCCAACGGTGGCTGATCTTTCATACTCCTGCAGATTCTATGTTCAATTCAATCCTCAGGGACCAATCCGCATTGACTTGCTGGCTGTACTTCTGGTACAAGGTTCGCCTTTGTCTTGCGACGAACGGTAGGCAAGCGTTCCATCATTTGTTCGACCCACGTTTCCGGTTCTTTGTGGGGAGCGAGAGCTTGACCATTTGTTCGCCTCACATCTAAGGTGGTGTGCGCGGAATGGGTGGGGGGAGTGTTGATTTGCCTCCGCTTCTTTACAGACGGTGGTCGCTGACCGTTGCAAAATGAATAGCTTTACATAGCAGTAGATGCGTTTCAGAAAACATTTTAAAGGGATCTAAGCACTGACTTTATTTGAGGTGTACAAATGATAGTTCATTTAAGTGTGTTTCTTCCCTTATCTATTTATATTGTATTGTTTAGTTTGAATTGAGGCAGTGAGTAGCCGCCATTGAATTCGGAGCAACTGCGCAGCATGGCCTGCTCTGTTATAGGGTTGAATTGTCAGTAAATGTATTCTGCATCAGCGCACGTGCATTTCTCGTTGCAAAGCCATCCGTATGCTCTTGTAACTTTGTCTGAATAAGCAAAACAACTTAAACTGCATCAATCATCATGCACAGCCATGACCTCGAAATTAAAACGATGCTTGTCACTCAAAACATTGCTGGATGGCTGCAGCAAGTTTGACCCTACGCGCAGGGGGCTCGAAGCCTTGAGATATAGGATCATAGCAAATCTTGCTCTTGTTGTTCCGTCATGGTCATCTGAGAATAACAGGACTCTAACAGCAGAGAAATCACGAATTATAATATTTGACCGTTAAAATGATTCCTCAGATTAGCGTCAACTGAAGTTCGCTCCTGTGTCAAAGATCATATTGCTCTCCAAAGCATGTCTGCCTCAACGAAGTTTCACTTTCGCGAAGCAGCTTCGAATTCATCAGTGGATGAGCACTCCCTACATCCGAACTAAACTCTTTCAATCATTAAAGGAAAAACAATTATTTAAATAGACCTGTATTTGTAACTTTTGCGGTTGCCCATCTCAAGCCTGGATGAGAAAGGAGGAGGGTAAGAGACTATGGCGATGTTTAAATAAAACTTACTCACCTAGTCCTCATGATGCTGGTGTGATCGAACATTATACCGGTTCGTCGCTGCCCGAGTTACCAAGGGCCTTGCAGGCTTGGGGGAACTGAGGCAGGCTGCGAAAAGTCGACAACAAAAACCTGATCATTGCCTTTTGGCAGCCGTGGACGTAGCAGTACAACAACGGGTGACGAAAATCGACGGAACGACGACGAAAATACTAATCAGCAACGGGTCGCTACCCGTTCTGAACGGAGGAGGCAGACAGCGCAATATAGTTATAGCACGTCAGAAAAGGCTCCACAAGAATGTCACCACCAGTGAGAGATTAAAGTCGGAAAATGGAACATGTTCGCACTCAGAAGGAAAGAGCAGGAGCTACTCGATGAGACCGCAAGGTACGATCTCGACATAATTGGACTTTCGTCAACGAAGAGCCGATGTTCTAGAATTCTCAGCCTCCGCGACTGAAGGCTATTTTATCTAGGTGACGATATCAAGAGAGTGTTCATTCCGACGTTGGTAATCTCGTAGAACCAAACCTGGCTGATAAAATCATGGAGTCGAAGTCTGCCAACGGAAAAGTGGTAAAACTCCAACTGAAGCTACATCAAGCTAAAGCGTTGACCTTGATACAGGTCTATGCGCCCAGTATCGAAGGGGGTATAAGAGTCGTTCTTTGAGAGAGTATACTGTGCTCTGTACGAAGTGCTGTCTATGGAGTCCTTCATTCTATTGTGCGATTTTAATGCACATGTCGGAGCAGACACTGAAAAGTGTGATTTGAAAAAAACAACCCTAGCGACCTCCGCAATAACGGAAAGTTAATAGTTGTTGCGGTTTCGTGAAAACAACTGACCATCAATTACAAACACCATCAAGAATCGAAGGGTGAATTGGCATACCAGGTGAGGGGAAGCGTGTGCACGGATGTCGATGACGGATTTGATAATGGCATCATCTGACTTTCTGACGTTCTGCAATTGATGATCGCAGTAGGAGAGGCACAGAGCTGTCTATCAATCACCATTTTGTTTTGGGCACGCTACGCTGTAAGAAATGGAGTGCCGTGCGAAGATCTGGTGGTAGAAGCAACCAGAGAATCAGATGGAAAAAATTATCTTCGGTGGCCACGAGAGCGAAATTTGAAAACAACATCGCCCAAAGGTTCGAACAGATCCCGGTGATGACCATTGATGTGAAAACCGAGTGACAGCTCTTTACGAGCGGCATACTCGAGACTGCCGCCGAATGCTGCGGACTCAAATCTGTTACCTGCCGCCTGGAAGTCAGAACAGATCGTCCTGGTGAACACGAGAGGTACAACTGGCAGTTAAAGAAAACAAGGTTGTATTCAAGAGACTGCGTGGAAACAAAGCACCTTCTACTCGCGTGCAATATGTCGAGGCACTCAAGGCGGCAGCCATAGCAGTGGCAAAAGCCAAGAGTGATTCCTGGGACAAGTTCGGTGAGGTGTTGGAGTCGAATTTTCAGACGGCAAACGAAGCATTCTGGCAGACCCTTCGCCGGCTCCAAGATGTAAAGAAGGGCAGTCCAAGAGTCTTGAAGGACCGGTCTGGACAACCTCTTACCGAGGATAGGGGCTTTCTTTGGCGATGGGAGAAAGCGTACTTCAAGGAACTCCTTCACTCCGAGTAACCGCAGGAAGATTTGCCTGCAGAGCAATAGGAAACGGATATTATTATTGAGGTAGATGAAATTACACAAACTGTGAAAAGCTTGAAAAGTGGAAAGGCTGCTGGAATTGATGAAACCGCTCTGAATAGTTTAAAGCATTGGGCGAACACGACATATGTTGGCTTACACATGTCTGTCAAGTTGCGATGGCTACGGGGAAGACACCAGTGGACTGGAAAACGGGTTCAAGAAGGAAGGCACAAGGAGTGCTTTACTTATGAACGTATTACCCTACTGAGCATCTAGGGTAAGGTGTAAGCAAAGGTGATAGAAAGAAGGTGTCGCGAAATAATAACTGACTCCAGGATATCTGAAAAACAGCGTGGCATCTGGCCCGACAGAAACATATCTGAGGAGATATTCGTGCAAAGCCAGATCGCTTAGAAACGATGGGATTTCGTCCGTCCAGTTTGCACGTGCTCTGTGAACTTGCAAAATATTATGACCGGATCCTGCGCAGAATCCACTGGTATGCCTGCGAACATATGGATCAATGGCCACTTGCTACGAGCCATCTAGCCACTACATGTTGATGGCAGGTGCTGTGTCATAGTGAATGGCGTTAAGTTGGAACCTATCAGCGTTGGCATTCGTCTCCAGCAAGGCTCTCATCTACTGTGTGTGTTGTACAAGGATAGAATAGTCAAGTAGATAGAATAGCCAAGTTGTACAAGGAGCAACTAAGGCGATGAGTGTGTCGGTTGATGTAAAGACTAGAAGGTTGCTGTTTGCAGACAACCTTGCTATTTGTTGACATTTTGTGAAACTGATCTCCAGCGGTCTCTGGAAGGGTTCGCAGTCGAGTGCGATGTGGTCCGCATGCAAATGAACATGTGTAGAAAGAGAAGCCTACTGCTTTCTCGTTGTCCTGCACGTTGCTCGCTTCAGATTGAGGAATAGGCAGTAAAGCAAACAAGTGGAGAAGTTCAAGTACCGATGAATCGTGTTTATCACTGATGAGAAATTTGAGGAAGTAATCGACCGGCGGATTGGAGTTGCCAGTCGCTTTATGTGGTAACTAGTCCAAACTACCATGGCTACAGCAGAGCTGAGTCTGAGGACTCAGTTTTCGATGTTCAAGTCGATCTTAATCCCCATGTTTATCTACGGTCATGAGTCGTTGACGATGTCGAAAAGCTTCAAACCCGAGTACAAGTGGCTGAAATGTACTTTCTGAGACGAGTTGCTGGTCATGCACGTCTCGGCATGGTCCGGAATACAGACATCCGCGAGGTCTTTGGTGTACAATCGCTGCATCTTCAAATTGAGAAGTCGCAGCTGCGATGGTTTGGGCATGTGCTGCGAATGCCTCCAGAAAAGAAGGCTAAGCAACTATTTCTTGCCCAGTCGATTAAACGGCCAAGATCAACCATTCGCAAATATATGAAGAAAGTCTGCTATATTCTCCGGCTGTTTTCTGACGAAGTTGAGACTCTGGCGTAAGATCGGGAACGTTGGAAGCACTGTCTGATGTGTC